CCCCCAGACTCTGCACCCTCAGTCTCAGCACCCCTAGGCTCCACACCCTCAGGCTCAGCACCCCCAGGCTCAGCACCCTCAGGCTCCGCACTCACAAGCTCAGCACCCCCAGGCTCGACACTCGCAGGCTCAGCACCCCCAGACGCAGTACCCCTAGCAGCACCTGAGTCTACAGTGACCTCGACAGGCTCATCCAGGGGGAGTGGGTCTACCTGAGACACACCTGAGGGAGTAGGACCCTGAGGGGGGAAGGGGGTCTACCGGAGGGGGACCTGGAGCGAGGAAGAGCGGCGGGGGGAGGAGAGGGGCAGTGCGATAGGGGAAGAGATGGTAAAAGGGAACCGACTCGTCAAACATGACGTCCAGCCAGGAGCAAGGTGGGGTGGTAAAACTGCCAGCCAGGCGCGTCAGGGGGAAAGCCAAGGAAGACGCGGGTAATGGTGCGGGAGGAGAGCTTGTCCGCGGAAGTATCGCGGACAAAGGCACAAGAGCCCTAGACCCGGAACACCAATGCATTGCCAACCTTCCCCGTCCAACGCAGTGTAGGCGAGGTCTCCGGCTATGAGACACGGGGCAAGAGGTTGAGCTGATGTGCAGCGTACCAGATCACAAACGGCCACAGAAAATGGGGAGCAGCCGCGTGGATCTTGGAGGTACGAGCCACCTCCATGACTAAGCCAATGCGGCGCTCAGCAACCCCATTTTGTTGCGGGGAGGCCGGAAGCGTGAACGAATGGAGAATGCCCTCCCCACGACAAAAGTTCCGCAAGAGGTCGGAGGAGAACTCACCACCTCTGTCAGATTGCAGACACAGGACATCAAGGTCCTCACGGAACCGCTCACGGAGCTGGAGACGAACTGCGCGGATCCAAGGGATCAAGACATCAGGGACCTCACCCTTGCTGCGCAAGGGGAAGACCGTGGTGTAACGCGTGTAGTCGTCAACAACCAGCAGAAAGTAGCGCTCGCGGTCCTGTCCACTGACATGGGCTGGGCCCCACACGTCCATGTGGAGAGTCTACAGGGGAGCAGCGGCGCGCTCCCGCCCCTCGATGCAAGGAAGGCAGGGCGGGAGGGGAGGCAGAGACCTGGGAAGACCAGAAACAAGGAGGCGGGAGTGCATGCCACGAAGGCGTAGCAGAGAGGGGTGACCAAGGCGGTGGTGCCATAGGAGAGTCTGGTGTGACAGGAGAAGGCTCAGTAGTCAATGTGTTCAGACTCGACCCAGGCCGACAGGTGAACGTGGCCAGGTGACAGCCCATCGATGTACACGTGCAGATCGACACACGCTGACCCCCGGAAGTGGTGGTAGTGACCATCGCATCCTGGAGGGCAGCGGTACTCACCAAGTTCGTAGAGAACGAGGGGAGGTGAAGACCTGAGAGTGAGCCGGACAGAACCGCCGGACACGGGAGAACGGTGGAGGAACGTGCAAGAAGTGGGCCCTCTGAGGGGTCAGCCAGTGTGACCGGAACAGGTGCAGGGAGTGGAGTGAGTGTGGTACTATCGTGAAAGAAACAACGGGAAATACCTGAGTCAAGTGTGAAGGTGTGCAAGGCCTCAGCAGGCGTAGTACCAGGGAGAGCAGACTCACTAGCACCTAGAGCAGCAGCCTCTATACCTGGGTCACGCGACACACACAGGTAACAGACACCCTCAGCACTAACAGACAAGGCATACATGGCAGCAAGGATAGCATCATAGTTAAGAGCAAAGATATCAACACCAGACCTAAGCAGCTCTAGCCAGCGGGGGCGCTCAGCCTCGTTGCCAAACTCTGCGCGCCAAGCGTCATCGAGGCGGGAGAAGCAGTGGTGCTGTGTGTGAAACTTCCCACATGTCTAACCAGCGCGGTCACCTGTGCAAATGACATACGGGCAGCGAACACTACCCCCAGATGCCCCACGTTGAGCAAACCATTCACGAAGCTGCCGGGGCGTAGGGGTCTCCACAACCGCCACAACCTACCTCTGGCCACCGCCACAACCTCCCCTCTGAACAGCTCCACCTCGTCAGCCACCACTGCCGCCGCCACCGCTCCCACTGACGCCACCACCGCCACCACCACTCCCACCGCTGCCACCACCGCCGCCACCGAAGCCCCCACTCCCGCCACCACTCCCACCGCCACCTCCGCCACCTCCACAGCCTCGCCCGCCTCCACCACCACCACCCCCGCTGCCACCGCCACCACTCTTGCCACCCTTGCCCTTGCTGTTGCGGTGCTTCCCACTAAGAGCAGAAGCAGCCCCGACGTCCTCGTAACCAAGGATGTCGACAGCACCAGCAGAAGCGTAGGAGGGGGCAAGGGGGAGGGGGAACACCCCTCAAAGAAGGGTGTGCGAGGAGTGCCACCTACAGCACCACCTACAGCAACTACGCTAGTCTCAGCTGCAAGGAGGTGCTTCTCGAGCAGGTCGATTGTGAGGTGTGTGGGTTCAAGCGCGAGAAAGTGGTCCCTGACTGCGCGAAGAGAGTCAGGGATGCGGGTGACTATGAAGTAGAGATTGATGTACATCGGGGGCGGGTTCTTGTCTAGGAAATCGGCTGGGAGGGCAGCGCGGTAGCGACTGTCGCTAGTGCGAAGGTGGGTAACGAGGTTCTTGACTGTGGCAAAGAGAGACAGCTCGGGAAAAAGGTGGGGCAGTATAAGGCGGCCGAGAGCAGCAGTGGCAAGGGAAGAGTAACGAGCGACTACAGTGTCGTACACGGCTTTAGCAGTCTTGTGCTGGCAAAAGTGAGCGCGTTCGGCTAACGGCAGGTGGTTGCGAACGGCTAAGCGAGCAGCAGCGTCACGGGTAAGCCACTGTGAGCGAGTCGCACTGTCAGCTGTGGCGGGAGGGGCAAGAGAGGCTCCAAACGTGTGGTCAAACAACGAAACGCTGTCTCTAGAATCGCTCAGTAGGTACAGTAAGTCGTCGAGCCACGTATCGAACTGGATTAGACGGCCCTCATGATCGAAGGTGAGAACACTGAGAGAAGCCATAGCAGGCAGAGCAGGGTGGCGCGCGACCAGCAGGGCAGTATGCAGGGAGGGCGGCGCGCGAGCACTAGGGAAGCGCGCAGGGCAGGGCGAGGTGGCGCTCTGCTAGGGAAGAGCGGCGCACGGGCAGGGCAGGGCGGCGGCCAGCAGGGCGGCGCGTGGGCAGGGCAGGGCGGTGCGGCGACCAGCAGGGCGGCGCGCGGGCAGGGCAGGGCGGCTCGGCGGCCAGCAGGGCGGCGCGCTGGCAGCAGGGCGGCGCGCGGGCAGGGCGGCGGCCAGCAGGGCAGCGCGCAGCAGGGCGGGCAGCAGCAGGGCGGCGCGGGCAGCAGGGCGGCACGGGCTGCAGGGCAGCGCGCGGGCAGGGCAGGGCGACGCGCAGGCAGGGCAGGGCGGCGCGGCTGCCAGCAGTGCGTTGCGCGGGCAGGGCAGGGCGACATGCAGGCAGAGCAGGGCAGCGCGGCGGCCAGCAGGGCGGCGCGCATGTAGGGCAGGGCGACGTGGCGACCAGCAGGGCGACGCGACAGGTAGGGGATGGCGGCGCGCGACCAGCAGGGCGGCGCGACGGGCAGGGCAAGGCAGCGCTCTGCCTGCAGGGCGGCACGACGGGCAGGGCAGGGCAGCGTGCGGCCAGCAGGGCGGCGCGACGGGCAGGGCAAGGCAGGGAACTATGCGGTGGGCCCTAAAAAAACCGTCCTGGAACAGGACCTGCTATGAAACCATGTCAGAATACTCAACGAGAATGAATGCATTAAGCAGAAATTTGGTACAAGTACTAACCCTAATTGGGTTGTACCCCTTATGGGCTACCCCACTACAGCCTACACAATATAAGCATTACAACATTTTGACAGTACACGCTGATTGTTGAGTGTGAGGGTCTAAAGAGGACGATCCTGAGCTGGATGGTTAGGGCTGGTTAGAAATTCGGAGGCGGCGCTCTATAACAGCTGGTATTGTTGTCGTTGGAATTGTTCGTCGAGCTGAAAGCTAGGTCGTTGTCGTATTATAACATTTTGACAGGTCCGCCATCAACGACAGGAGCCTCCCCAAGCATTTGCTGCTGTGTGCCGTCGGTGGGGACCGGAAAAACACCCACAAAGCCTTAGTCTATGCGGCGCTGCGAATGGTCCAGGGAGCTGACTATATGACCCTTCACGAGACGGCGGTTTCTCGCCTATAGTCAACCAAAAGCGAGCAGACCTAATCATCCGAGACCTGGGTCACGGATGTCAGGGTTACCGACCCGGTCTTGCAGCGGCGCGACAAGAGGGCAGTCAAACCAGCTGGGTCGGCGGCAGAGGATGCAGCAAGGGTGAAACGGGGGCTGTATGAGGGCCGACCGGGATTTGTGGGGGTGTTCGGCTTGGCAGTAGAAACCTATGGGGCCTTGGCAAAGGACACCTAAAGGTTCCTCCGCCTCCTTGGGACCCAGGCGGCCAAGAAGATGCACAGGCAAGGGAGGCTCACCTCAGTCGCCTCCAAGGTCAAAGCACACTACTGACAGCGCTGGTCGGTGATGATGTAGAGCTGCTAGGCAAACGCCCTGATGGCGAAGTCCAAGAGGACGGCTGAGGCGGCGTTCCCACAGGCCGCAACCGACCCGTGGGAACCCCGCCTTGGGGACCTGTAGCAGGTCCTTGAGGATGACCTGGCACAGGTGGCGGACCTGGAAGAGTAGAAGGGCACGGCATCTGCCAGGGTGCCCACCGCTAGGAGCCCCCCCCCAGGCCGGCAACGATAGGGTGACAGAATGGGCCCCCGTGCAATCTTGTGCAAAAAGCTTGCTTAGGGTTTAGTTCTGCCCTCTGCCCTCAGAGCCTATTTAGGCCCCCTAGGGCCACCCATCCCTCATTATTCAGCTGTGAGTTCGTTTTCGGCGGCTCGCGCCGGCGGCCTTTGGCTGCGCGTTCAGGACGGCAAGACAACAAAGGGCATCAAATATAAGCAGCAGGGGTACAAGCATGGCAGCAACTCCTAACTAATAAGAAAGCATACATGGAGCAAGCGGACGCGGATTCTACATTCGGTCCGCTTCAGGGGCAACAAGAATGCCCGTCAGATTCCGCCACACCTCACAGACCTCGAGTGTGCTTGCAGCGATCGCGTTGACTCCTGTCCCTGCGCGCAAACATCGCCGCAAGCCGCGAACTGCAGCGTCAAGCTGCCCCAAAGCCGCAACGACTCCCCGCGCGGGCGCGGCCAACACGGGCGCCGGGAGGAAGGCGAGCTGGTCTGCTGCATCCAGGCAATCGACCTGCGGGCCGTCTAGAATCGTGTTCCCCAGGACACGTAGAAGGGAACCGTGTGCCAGCACCTGGACCAACAGGAGCGCCCACATGCTCTCAGAGAGCCGCCACAGCTGGCCGAGTGTTGCCTCAGGCACACGGACCTGCCGGGAGGATGTCCCCCCGCCAGGAAGGGGAGGGGATCATCAATAGCAGGGGCAGCAACATCAGCCACAAGGAGGGGGGGATACTGCGCCCTCACCGCCCCTCCTCCCGCTCCCACGAATTCCATGCCCGCCACTGGCGGGACGCACGGCATCCGACGACGGGAGTTTGCCGCCTCTCCTCCGGAAGCAGGCGCCGATGCGGCAGGAGCAGCAGGAGGAGGGGCAACCTGCTGTGGTGCAATTCTAGGACGAGCACCGGGAGGGGGAGCAGTTGGCGATGGTGCCACCTGCTGCGAGCCGCTCTAACTCGCCGTGCCGGCCTGGGCATCGCGCATCACCGCCGACACAATGTGCTGAATGTCCGACCGCGTCAACGGCGCATTAGACGAATCGCCACGCCCGCGACCGCGACCTCCTCTCCAGCCACCACGCCCGCCGCGGTGTACAGGTTAATTCGCTGGGGACTGACGGCGCCGAGGTGACTCACGCCGGCATCGGGTCGATTCGCACTCATCATGCGGCAAGGGGGGGTGATGAAGAGAGGGGCGCTGATCGGGAGACTGATGATGCGGGCGCCGGTTTGGAGAACGCCGCCCAGACTGAGCTAGCGGGGTTGCAGGAGACGACGCCAGCGACGACTAGACGGCAGCGCCCTCCGCCTTTACTGGGGCTGGGCTGCCGGTGGTGGCAAACACTGCCTGCAGTGCCAGGTCGTCGGCGGGGGACGCCGCAACATGAACTGCGGCGGCAGTTTGCACGGGTGCAGCACCAAGGGGCTCCAGTACAACAGCAAGGGGAGCGGGACCAGCTACCTGATGGTCAAGTGCAGACGACGACAGCGCAGTAGGGGGAGACGTCGCAGCAGGCGATACAAGCGCCGCATACAGAGCATGCGGTGCGAGGGGGAGTTGGATCTCCTCGGCGGGTATCACAGGTTTTGGTGCAGACGGCACAGGGGGCTTTTTCGTCGAGGTCGCCGACACATGCACAGGCGACGTCCTTCCGTCCACCATTGACGCAACGGCATCACGCGTTGGCGACGGCTTAGGAGCGCCGAAAAACACCATCTTGTGGGGGAAGGGGATGAGGTCGCGGGTGCCAGGCAGCAAGCAGGGTAGGCGGTGGTCCAGAGAATGGGTACCAGGTGGCAGGGCGACGGGCTTTAAGATTACTGAAAAATAATAATGTCGTAGGGAGGAGGCAGACCCTAATTATAGGTCTGAGCCTGAGCCCGCTAGCAGTGGCAACGAGAGCGACGAAGGTGAATCTGAAAGGGAACAAGCTGGGAGAAACTTGCATCACGGTCAGCAGGATGAAGCTGCAGGGCGAGGAGAGGGGGGTGAACCGCACGATGGGAATCGTACAGTCACAATTCCAACCGATGAGATCGTGCCCCACATGTGAGGTAATGAAGAGTTCGAGGAAAAAAAAGGCGTGTCAGCTACAGCCGATTCCGCCACCCGAACGCACCAAGCAGTAGGTGACTATGGACTTTGTCACGGGGTTACCCGCGAACCTCGAAAGTAACGACGCGGTCATGGTTGTCGTTGACCGGCTCACGAAAATAGCTCACTTCGCTGCGTGCAAGAAATCGATCTCGGTAGAAGAAATCGCCCGCCTATTTATCGCAGCCGTCGTTCGCTTGCATGGGATACCAGCCCCCATCATCAGCGACATGGATACGAAATTCACCAGCAACTTCTCGAAAAAAAATGTGGGAGCAGTTCGGGACCCGGCTACAGTTCTGTTCGTCCTACCACCCCGAGACCAACGGACAAAGAGAGAACGAACCAGACCATAAAGCAGTTGATTCACGTCACGTGTGACGACACCGCAACCTGGTGTCGCTGATCGAGTTCGGCTACAACGACGACGCCATGTCAGCAACCAGACAACAATCGCAGTTTTACCTCAATTATGGACAGAACCCTACAGTGCCCATGATGCCGAGCCCGGACAACCCGACAGTACGAGCGCAAAAGTTCGCCAAAATTCTGCAGGCTACCCGAACGAGCGCAGCAGAGGCAATTAAGAAAGCAAATGTCATCGACAAAATGAACGCCGATCACCACCGCCATCCCATCATGTACTACCAGTCAGGAGATTACATTCTGCTCGACACTCAGAACTTATGCCTGCCCTCCGTGCCGAAACGCCGACCGCACTAGATTGGCCAGTGTCAAATCAACCACATGATCATGCCAGTCACCGCCCATCTATTGTTACCCGCCGATTGGTACATCAGCCCGTCATTCCACGTCAGTTTGCTTCGTCCGTACATCCCGACCACCAGCCAACTGCCACGGCACCGACCACCCTCGATGAGCGCGTCCTGCATCAGAGCCCATCGTTGACCCCGAGAAAATCTTGAGCCATCAGATTCGCCACCCCCAGGGATCTTGGAGGATCAAATTCCTTGTCCGCAAGAAGGACTGCACCCCTACGGAAGACAGTTGGGTGCCCTTCGGCAACATCGGGAACAACCATGTCCTCCAAGTGTATCTGCGAAGCCGAGGATTCCGTGATATACATGCACTTGTGTAGCAGAGGGGCTTCTTGGGGAGGAGGGTAGTGTAAGGAGTTTTCTCGACATTCCTTACTGCGCATCTCAACAACGCGTACAGGATCGACCGTTTCTTTGCCCGTTACTGCTAACGATATTCGCCACCTTCGCGCGTCACATTGACCAAACCACACACTGCTGGACTGACCCGAGTCGGCCTAAGCTCTGGGGCTAGCCCAAACCTCGCTGCCAGCATCGCACTAGCTAGCTCGCACGCACCGTGTTATCGTTCGCTACTTTTGTTAAAAATGTTCGCTCACAATTGCACCCGTAACACGGGGTTTGTTTTTTTGTGAAAATAACGAACGAGAATGAATGAACTAGCAAACAGTTGGGTACAAGTACTAACCCTAATTAGGTTGTACCCCTTGTGGGCTACCCCACTACAGCCTACACAAATGTATAAGCTATAATGTTCTGACACACCCCCATAGGCAAAGTGGGGGAGAACAAGTGGTCACAAGACCAGTCAAGAAAAGCAAAGCAAGCTCAGGGTGGATCACAAAGTCACCACACAGTCCGAGCACAAGCAAAGGGCCACAAGGCCAGTTCACATGTAGAGTTATATAAAGAGAACAAACAATACTGTGATCATACCCTAGCAAGTGCAAGCATGCAGGTTTATATATATATCACAGTACAAGCAGAGTCAAGCAGTAAGCAAGTGAGGCAAAGTAGGCACAAGGCCTAATACAGTAGTAAAGCGCTGATGATCACCAGGCTGAAGTGCCTTGGTGAATATATCAGTAGTGTTGGCCCTAGTGGCCACGTACGCAAGACGAAGCTGGCCACGCTGCTGCAACTCTCGAGCAAGGAAGTATCGCAGAGCGATGTGCTTCGTTCTGTGCTCCAGTCTGTGCTCCTCACACAAGGCAATCATGGCCTTGTTGTCGACGTACAGAACAGGAGGCGAACGAGGCTGCTCTCCCAAGTCAGTCAGCAGGTAGGTGAGCCAGCGTAGCTCCTGTGCAGCCATGGCCCCAGCGTAGATCTCAGCCTCACAACTGGAGCTGAGAACAGAAGACGAGCGGGTAGACCGCCAGGAGACAGAGCCAGAGCCAAGGCTGAAGGTGTAACCCTGTGACGACCGCTGCGTAGCTGAGTCGTCAACCCAGGAAGCGTCTTCGTGACCGGTAAGGACAACTGGACCCCGTCCTCAAAGCACGAGCCCCATGCCCGATGTACTGCACAAGTAACGCAGTACCCTCTTCGCAGCATCCCAGTGCACCTTTCGGTGCCTGCCGGGAGCCACGTAGCGAGCCAAGAGACTGAGAGGGTACGCGAGGTTGGGTCGAGTGCACGTCATCAGGTACATGAGGCAACCCACAAGCTCTGGGTACGGACCACTTGGCTCTACGGACTCGTCCGAAGGTGGAGCTGAGAGCGAGTGGCTGGTAGACAGAGGAGTGGGCTGTGGCGAGGAGAACTGGAAGCCGAAGCGCTGATGGACCTGGTGCACCATGTGTGACTGAGTCAAGGTAATGGTGCGCCGAGCTCTGTCCCGGGTGATCTGCAAGCCAAGATAGCTGCGCAGTTCACCCAGGTCAGTGTAGGTGTGTCTCTTCTGCAGCTCCGACTTCACAAGGGTCAGTGCCTCAGTGTCAGAAGTGGCAAAGACGAGGTCGTCGACGTACACGAGGACGTAGAAGGGCGGCAGCGACGTGTCGGTGCGTAGAAACAGCGACGGGTCCGCAGTAGAAGGAGCAAACCCAAGAGCCGCAAGTGTAGTCCTCAGTGTGTCGTGCCACTCACGAGGCGCTTGGCGGAGACTGTAGACTGGCCGGCGGAGGCTCCACTGGGTACCTGTAGGAAACGTCCCAGTGAAACCAGGTGGTCGGCGCAGCCAGATCTCCTCATGCAGGCTGCCCTGCAGGAAAGCTGTGCTGAAGTCCAGAGAGTGCAACTCGTAGTCACGCTGAACAGCAACGTGCAGCAACACCCGAAGAGTAGTCATCTTTGGGGTGGGGGAGAAGGTCTGGAAGTAGTCAACTCCCTGTCGCTGAATGAAGCCTCGAGCAACGTAACGCGCCTTGAAGGCAGGCGGAGAACCCGGCGGCCGCTTCACCCTGAAAATCCACATGCCATCGACTATGTTCGCCCCAGGTGGGGGAACCTTGTCGACGTAGGTGCCTGTGGACTTCCAGGATGCCATCTCGGCATCCATGGCTGCTTGCCACTGAGAGGAGTAAGGACCCGTAATCGCCTCTGCGTAAGAGCGCGGGGTCGGGATGTCTGGAGCATCCGGGTCTCCCTCAGGGGCAAGCAGCATGGAAGCGAAACGAGGTACAGCAGCTGCAAGAGACTCAAAGTCCTCCTGCCTGTCCTCAAGGACGACCGTGCCAAGAGCACACTCACCCCCAACGGACGGAGGACTGGCAGACGCAGACTCAGCAACCAGAATAGTGGCGTAGTCCAGACGGCAAGCAGTAGCAAGTCAAGCAGCTCAGCAACAAGAGCAGACGCAGCAGCAGACTCAAAAGAAGGGTCAGTGACAGCAGTGGCGAGGAGACGAGAGACAGTGGGACTGGCAGCACGAGCGAAGTCAGACTCAGGGTCAGGGACGGCAGGAAGAGAGGACTCAGGAGGAGCTGGCAGAGGAACACGGAGAGGAACAGAGGAAGGACGAAGGGTCATAGCGTGCGTGCCAGGGACAGGAAGAGGACGCGAACGAGGAACGCGACGAGCAGTGCGAACAAGCGAGACAGGACGACACGTAGGCTCACGACGCTCTGTAAGACCGCCGGACTGCTCAGTGTAAGGAGAAGGAGCAGGCAGTGGAGAGGCCGGCTGTAACGGCGGCTGCAACTGGTCAGGCGGGGGACACAGGAGGGGAGGAGTAAGGGCAGCAGAAGGCGGGGTACCAAGAACCTGCTGGAGCAAGGGAACGAAGTACGGTCGCGGCCGCACAGTGCCACCAGGGTCAACAGCTCCAGCTCCTCTAGCTCCAGCACCTCCAACACCAGGGTCTCCAACTCCAGCGCCTCTAGCGCCAGGGCCACCAACTCCAGCTCCTCCAGCGCCAGCGCCACCAGCGCCAGTAGTACCAGACTCCGTAAGGTCTCCAGCTCCAGTCACCTCAACACCACCAGTTCCGGCAGCTCCAGTACCCCGGGTACGAGCACCTCCAGGACCTGTGGTCGCAGTACCTCCAGTAACACCAGCTCCAGCAGCAACTCCTGTACCTCCAGCTCCAGCAGCTCCAGCACCTCCAGCTTCAGAAGCTCCACTCCGAAGGCGCGTACGCCAAACAAACCACTCACACAACTGCTGCGGAGACAGTCTCGGCGAAGCACCAGCAGAACCTCCAGACGAAGCAGCACCCTGAGGCTCCGCACCCCCTGACTCCGCACCCTTCGACGCATCACCCCCAGGCTCAACACCCTCAGGCTCAGCACCCCCAGGCTCACCACCCCCAGTCGCAACACCCCCAGGCTCAGCACCCCCAGTCTCAACACCCCCAGGCTCAGCACCCCCAGTCTCAGCACCCTCAGACTCCGCACCCCC